AGTAAAGTTATAGAGAGCATGAGCGATAGAAGAGAAATATTGAAATAAATAGAGTCAGACACAATACATGGTAGCATGCTCACTTCAGCCCCGCTTGGTGGTCCACGTGGAGAGAGCGAGAGAGTCTTTAATGCTAACCAAGGCTTTTATATTCTCTGGGGATGCAAGCCCCCTAATTACAGGGGAAGACATATGTCATAGGAAGGGGTTGTGCTATAGGTAATACAGTAATGGAAGGGGGTGATCTAGGGGTATCCATGCAATAGGAAGAGGAAGGATTGGGAGTATACATGTGGCAAGATGGGCAGATCCTAGATACAGGATGGCAGCCTAACTTTGGATGTCACAGAGCCAGTTTGACCTATTCCCTGGCTCAACTGATAGAGACCATTGTCGGTATGGTGTGAAGGCCACCTACAGGAACCAAGCTAATGGTCACAAGCCTCAGGGAGAAATAATCCATTGTCCCCAGCAGCAGGGAGCAGGCCCACCCCTGTGATGGGCTAGACAGCAGTCTGGCAGCAATTGCCTTCAGGGAGGATGTCTGTAAGCATAACCTCCCCCCACAAGATATGATTTTATTATTGTTTGTTTGAAAAGTATATATGGCTAAAGAGTTGTGTGAAAATGTCAAATTGACAAGGGTAGTTACATAAATTGTGGTAGTTACATAATCGGTTGCCAAATTGAGACTTAAGAGTGAAGGAGTGGCGTTTGGCCTGTCAATCAGGTCACAGCTTGATGACCTCACTTGGAGTTGCCATGGAGATAAATAGCTCGCTGGAGGTGGGACACAGACACACCCCCTGTGAGACATTCCTGTTGAGAAGACAGAGCTACACTAGAGCTCTGGAGCTGAAGAAGCCACATGGTGACCCATGCCTGTGCTGAGATGCTTCCACTGCCACTGGATCCACAAAACTTTCTACCCACTGGCCTGTAATATTCCTGCATTTGGCATAATTGCATGTGTTGCATGAATCTGAAGAGGAATATATAGATGGGTATCGGACATTTGTGCTAATATTGGACTTATGGAATTGATCTGGACAGGGCTGAGATGTTTTCTCAATATTCCATTGCTCTTGTATATAAAGCTCTTTCTAATACACATGAGTTTCTGTGAATTTGTTTCTGTAGTGTACCCAGACTAACACTATGTGAATAGCGTTCCCCTCAGGCAGAGTGAGTTAGAAAAAATTCCCATGCTGACCTTTGGTTAGCTTGAGCTGTGAGGGCATTTTGTGACCAGCCTGTGTGATCACTAAGGTGTCAACGGGTACAGGTAACAGGCATCAAAAGATCCCAACCAACAATTATATCAATGTGAACAAGGGGGCTCGGAGTAGAGACCCCAAGCCCATCTGTAGACAATTGGACATCCCCTCACAGAAGTGTCACAAAGAAAGGACGAGTCAGCCAGGGTACAGTATAGCACTGAGGAAACATACAACACTCCTCTAATTCTTTAATGACCCCCCTCCCCCACCCCATAATGATCCCAGTTCTATCTTACAAATCTGGCTAGACCAGAGCATGTACAGTGGTACAAAGAGCTCTGCACACAAGGAATCCAGAACAGATAAACCCCTCAGGAACAATAAAGGGAGTAGCAATACCATGAGGGTAGAGGGAAGGTGGGGAGAGAAGGGGGAGAATAGGGGAACTGATCGCAATGATCCATGTATAACCCTCCCTGAGAGGGACAAATAACAGAAAGGGGTGGTGGTGAAGGGAGACAGCAGATGGTGTAAAACATGAAAATAATAATATGTCATTTATCAAGAGTTCCCAAGGGTGGGAAGGTGGGGGAGGGAGGGAAAAAAGAGGAGCTGATATCAAGGGCTCAAGTTGAAAGCAAATGTTTTGAAAACGATAATGGCAACAGATATATTCATCCATTTTATCTAGCACACTTATACATATAAGAGCTGTAAGACTTTCTTCTTGTTCTTTAATGCTCCCCACTATTATGACCTCAATTCTACCTTACAAATATGACTAGACCAGAACATGTACACTGCTACAGATAAGAGCCCCAAACACAGGGAATCCAGGACAGATAAACCCCTCAGGACCAATAATGAGAATAGAGATACCAGGAGAGTAAGGGTAACGTGTGGGGAGAAAGGGGGAATTGATCACAAGGATTGACATATAACTTCCTCCCAGGGGACCAAACAACAGAAAAGTGGGTAAAGGGAGACAGCAGATGATGTAACATATGAAAATAATAATTTATAATTTACCAAGGCTTCATGAGAAAGGGAGGGAGAAGGAGGGTGGGAAAAAAGTGAGTTGATATCAAGGGCTCAAGTAGAAAGAAAATGCTTTGAAATGGTGATGGCAATATATGTACAAATGTGCTTGACACAATGGATGAATGTATGGATTGTGATGAGCCCCCAATAAAAGTATTTAATTAAAAAAAAGAGGTGGGGAAAAGAGCTATAAGAGCCAATACAATGATTGATACATTAAAAAATTTTTAATAGTGATGGCTGCAGTTTCTTACACTTACATAAAAACAATGAAACTGTCCTATCCTGGAGGATATACCATAATACTGGCATGAAGACACAGGATCAGCCAGTCAGGGTGTGATGTAGCAACGATGAAAAATACAACTTTC